TGAGGAATACATGGATTGTTCATTGTAAAATACTTTTTGCCTCTGTTTGAAATTTTCCATAGCAAAATGCTGAAATTAAAAAAAAAGGGAGGAAAGAGAAAGGGATAAAGAGCAAGAGAAGGAAGGAAAGAGAAGTATTAAGTTAAAACAATTTGTTCTGTGGAAACAGACCTAAAGCAGGCAGCAACCTGTTCCTGGTATCAAACGGACAAACTCTGAGGTGATTATACATAGGCAGTATATGGTGGCTTTGGAAGACCACTTAATTTATTGTTATTTTTAAAATATGTATAATTGTAATTAGTACTTCAGTGACAACAGCAACAATATTTTTTTTCAGTACTGGGCCCCACAAATGCTAGGCAAGTGCACTACCACTCTAGTACATCTTCAGCCCAAGAGTAAAAATCTTTAAAAAGAAGGAAATCCTTCCATTGTAACAAGAATGAATTCAGAAAACCATATATTGAGTGAAATAAGCTAGACACAGAAAGACAATGCTGAATGATTTAACTTTAAATGAGATGTGGAATGTAATAAAGTCAAACTCATAGCAGAAAAGTGTAGAAAGGTGATTTCCAGGAACAGGGTTTTGGGGAAATGGTGGGATTTGGGGTCAAATGGTATAAACTTTCAGTTATTAAATACATGCTGAATATCAAGTATACAGTCTGGTGAGTATACATTATATATGCTTGAAATTTGCTAAGATACCAGATTTTACACATTTGCACTATTAAAAATTGTAACTATGGTTATGTTAATTAGCTTAATTGTAATAATCACTTCAAAATATATATGTATATCAAAACAATATGTTTTACACATTAAATATATACAATTTTTTATTTGTCAATCATACATCAAGAAAGCTGGAAACAGAATAAAGCAAAAACACTAATGGTGGCTTATTTGCTACCCTTGTGGCAGAACTCACATTTTAACCAACTCTATTTAAACAAGGTTTTGCCTTGTTAACTAACTGGTAGGTTGGGTGCATTCAAAATCTTGTTTGATTTTTCTGGTTTATAGAATGGTAGAATTGTGAGTAACTTCAGAATTTATAATCCATCTTTTACACAGAAGGAAGCATGATGAGGGACTTTACATAGTTGGCTATAGCTAGGCAAAAATGTGAACCTAGGTTTTCCTGACTTGTCTCTTTTCTTTACTGCCAAGGCTCTTGAAATCTTTGAAGTGAAATATTGCACAGAACTGCTATGTGCAAAACAAAAATATATGGATTCTGGAGGTTACTTAAGTCTCTACGTCTGGTAGAAATAGAACCTCTTAATATGCGTAAGACTCCACTTTAGAAAATGTAGTTAAAGGCAAAGGATAATTTTTTTCTTGGTAGCTTACAGTTTTACTGCTCTGCTCTGAATGCAGTTACTGAAATGAAAGAAGGAGGATGTGTGTTCTTCTGCCCAACTGACTTTTGGTTGCTTTTTGTCAATTCTGGAGGCCCTATTTCCCATGTCCTGTAGATTGGGCCACAAATTTTTATGCCCCCATTTTGTTTTTTTAAAACACAGGCAAATACTACTAATATATAAATACAAGCAAATCCTAGGGGTAGCACAAAATTATAATCCCAGATACTTGAGAGACTGACGCACAATTGCAAATTCAAGGCTACCCTGTGCAACTTTCCGGGATCCTGTCCCAAATTTTTTTTAAAAAATTGTTAAAATGATTGGAAATGTAGCTCAGTAATTGTGTGCTTGCTTAGCAATGCTAAGGTCCTGAGTTCCATCCCTAAGACAGCAACAATAACAAGAAAGCAAATATTAGGTTTAAAAGGTGATATTTTTATACTGAGGATTGAGCCATGGGTGCTCTGTTGCTGAGCTACATCCCAGGCTTTCTGTCTTGAAACAAGATCTCCCTAAGTTGTTCAGGCAGGACTCAAACTTGCAAACCTCCTGCTGCAGCTCCCCAAGTTCTGGGATTACAGGCATAAACCATCTGCCTGGCTAAAAGATGATTAACAATCAAAGTCAGGAGTGAAGTCCTACAAATCTGCTGGAAGTATGCAATGAATTTGTTTCTAAGCATTCTAAAGATGAACACCAAGAGTAGAAGTGATTACAGAATTTACAATGTCTGTAGGCATACAAAACACAGGAAGTTTTCAAATTAAATCAGTCTCTTAAAAATTGTCACCAAAAGCATCTTGACCATTAGAATCTGACACTAGACAACGCCTCATGTTTCTAATATATTTTTTCAAGATATCACTCAGGATAGACTTAGTGTAATGCCAAAATGTAACTTATTAAAAGCAATTCCATAATAGTATTTTTTTGGTACTAGGGATTGAATTTATGACTTGGCACCTGCCAGGCAGGCACTTATGTCCCTGAGCTAAATCCCCAGCCCTCCGTAATAGTATTAAAACAGCCAAAAGGGGTAACGATTTAGATGTCCATCAACTGATGAATAAATGAATACATTAGTTGTATATCCATGCGATGGACTATTACTCATTCCATAAAAAAGAATGAAGTAGGGTCCACACAACAAAATGCATGAACCTTAAAAAGTTATGTTTAATGAAAGAATCTAGTCACAAGAGATCATGTAAATGTGATTTCACTTACATGAAGCATCCATTATAAGAAATGTAGGCAAAAAGAGATTATCATTTTCTGTGTATGGGGGTGATTGTGAGGGGAAAGGGGTTATGACTGCTAATGGGTGTGGAATTTTGAAAGAAGGGAATGATGACTGCACAATTCTATGAATATATTAAAAATCATTGAATTAGGGGGCTGGGGATTTAGCTCAGTGGCATAAGCGCCTGCCTTGCAAGCAGGCAGTCGTGGGTTCGATCCCTGGTACCGATAAAAAAGGAAAAAGACAAAAAAAAAATCATTGAATTCTACATTTTAAGTAGGGGAATTCTATGTTATATTGATTACATCTTAATAAAAAAAGGCTATTTCCCACAGACTAGGAAAAAAATATCTCCAAAAGACATTTCTGATAAAGGACTGTTACTCAAGGTGCTCAAAGGATGCTGAACCAAAATGCCCATCAACTGCAGAATGGATGAAAAAGATGTTTTATACAATGTAATATTACTCAGCTATAAAGAAGAATTATCTTGAGGCTTTTATAGGTAAATGGAGACCACTTGAGACTATCCTCATAAGTGAAATAAATCAGACTCACATTTGTAAATATTATCTCCAGTATAAAAATAATAAAAAATGAAGGAGTAATAAGATCCAAAATGTATAATAGATTTTGAGATAATGAAAGGGAAAGTACTCTAAAGGATGTAAATATATGTGTAAGTGTGCAAGATAGATAACCATACTATTAAGATTTTGCTCATCAAACAAAATAGTTTGTACTGTCACTGTTTGATTGTCCACTTTTTATGCTTTGATTTTGTGACTTGAGCAACTACTTCTAAGATGACAATATGTAATTTATCAACTAGTTATTTCTTACTTTCTGAAATTCTGTGTTATTTTTATCCTTTTTTCTGTTTTGCTTTTTTCTCTAAATAAAAAAAGTTATTTTAAAAAAACAATAAGAAAAAACTTTTTTTAATTTCTAATTTTTTGGTTTTTTTGAGACAGGGTCTCACTATATAGTTTAGACTGGTCTTGAACTCACTATAGAAGCCAGACTGACCTCACACTCACAGCAATCCTTCTGCCTTGGTTTCCCTACTGCTGGGATCATAGGCATGTGCCGTCATGCCCAGCTCAACAACCCAATGTAGAAATAGCCAAGATATTAACAAACATCTCATTAAAAATTATGTATTATCAAGTTGGCAAATAAGCACATGGAAAAATTTTCCACACCATATGTCATTAGGTAAATGCAAATTAAAACAGTAGTATTATACCATTAAATATCTGTTAGACTGGCTGAAATTCAAAATAGACCACCAAATACTGATAAAGATGTAGAAATCATAAATTGCTCATGAAAATGCAAAGAAAAACAGCTACTTTGGAACATAGTTTGATATTCTTGTCTTACTATGATCTAGCAATTGTTTTCCCTGGTGACTGATCACAGGAGGTGACAATGTATGTCCACACAAAAACATTCACTTGTGTGTTTATAGCAACATCATTAATAATTGCCAAAAACTTTGGAGAAACTAAGATGTTCTGTGGATGAATAGAAGAAGCAGGGTGCATCCAGACAATGACATATTATTTAGTGTTTATGAAAAGACACAGGGGCTGGGGATTTAGCTCAGCGGCATAAGCGCCTGCCTTGCAAGCAGGCAGTCGTGAGTTTGATCCCTGGTACCGATAAAAAGGAAAAAGACAAAAAGAAAAAAAAAAAGAAAAAAGAAAAAAAGAAAAGACACAGAAGAAATTTAAATGCATATTACTAAGTGAATGAAGACAATCTGAAAGACTACCATATGATTCCAATTTTATGACATTCTGGAAAGGGCAAAACTAGGGATGGTAAAAAAGATTAGTGCTTTTCATGGATTTGGGAGTAGTAGATAAATAGGCAAAGTACAAAATTTTTAAAGCAGTGAAATTACTCCGTATCGTACTATAGTAGTACATACATGTTATTATACATTTGTCCCAACCCATAGAATGTACAAGGTTACAAGAGAACACTCATGTAATCTGTGGATTTTGGATGATAACAATGTATCAGTGTAGGTTCATGATTGTAACAAACACACCACTGTGGTAAGTGATGTTGACATGTGAGAGACAGCATGTGTAGAGGAAGTGGTACATGGAACATCTTTATCTTCCTCTCAGTTTTACTATCACTCTAAAACTTCCCTGAAAAATATAGTCCTTTAAAAATAAAAAGGCAGTTCCTTTGTGTGTGTGGGTCAAATCAAGTTAGTCAACAGATAGTTTTCTTGATAGGCTTTAAATTCAGGTCTAAATTGTATTTTACAGCATTTTTACTTTTTTTGGCATGGGGAGGGTACCAGGAATCAAACTCAGAATCTTGAGCATGCCAGACAGGTGCTTATGCCACAGAGCTATAATGCTTCTCCGCCTTATAGCTAGGATCAAGCGTAGTATCTGTTCTTATCAGGTCTAAATTTTAGGACAGAGAAATAAACAGACTTGTTTATCTTTATCCATATTATTTTTCACAGCTGAGGTTTTTTTTCCCTTGTGCCAGGAATCAAACTCGGGACTTTTTGCACTTGCCAGGCAGGCACTTTACTGTTGAGCTATATCCTCAGCCCTACAGCTGAGATTTTGATAAATAGTGAGCAACTGAGTTTGAGGGTATGCTCTCTGACAGGTCCTTAGAGCACAAATATTCTGTTTGCCAAATTACAGAGCCATGTGTTTTAAAAGTCATCCCAGGTGAAAGATGAGCCAAACAAGAATTCATCCTTAAGTAGAAAGCCGCTCCTCCTTTGTGTGGAGACAGGTCACTCTTTTAAAAAGTCAATCACTGTCAGGACCAATATAACTCTTCTTGGGTGTTTTTATTTTGTCAGATTGTCTCAAGGTCATTGAGGATTTGGTAATAAAAACAAGGAAAACAAGGAATATATACAATTCTGAATAATTCATATACTACATTACCAAGATATTTTGTATGAAAAAAAACTATGGTGAATGTTTAAATTAAAAAAAATTACAGTAAAAGACATGTTATTAATCCTCCTTAAAATACTGCACCTCAGTTTGAACACACTTATCTTGCCATTTTCTGAAGCAATTGTGGAAGTCCACTTTTGTGAGCATCTTTAGTTGTACTATTGTGGCTGCCTCAATGTCCTGCACTGATTCCAAATGTTTACCTTTTATGTTCATTTGGAGTTTGGAAATGAGCTAGAAGTTGCATGGTGCCAGATCTGTTGAATAAGATGGATGACAACATACAAAAATATTTTATGAGCCTGTCTTTCCATGGAATGGCACTCCACAATGACTTTCACCCCCTTTTTGACCAGAGGTCTTACTAAAGAGAACTTCCAGATCTGCTTCTGCAATACGCAAAAATAATGGGATAAGTGTCTTTGAAGCAAGAGGGAGTATTTTGAGAGGGATCATAGCAATGGTTGTTCCACTGTAGTAAATTTTAAAAAATGAATCATTCACCATATATTAGGATCATATCTCATAACTCTTGGGAAGCTAGTTATGGTCTAATTTAATACAGAGATGAGCCAGACCCCAACATTGTAAACTACAGAGCATTCTCACAGCAATTTTTGGCTGCAAAAATTTAAAGCAATACCCAAATTTGAGTCATACAAAAGGTCAGGAAAAATTAGCTGTGATCAATAAATTCCTACTGGGCCAGATGCCAAACAGAAACTAGTTAAAACGGTGTGCTTATGTTTACTAATGAATTAACTTTCATGATAGGATGATTATTAGTGTTGAACATGACTCATATTGGGAAATCTCTTCCCAGAATAGTGACTTTGAATTTTTAAATGTTGTTTTGAAGCCCCTTTTTATAGCTGTCATCCCAGGTTGCTGGCAATAAAATCTATGTATGGGGATAGAAAAAAGTATCTTCTTACTTCAAAGTGATGCTAAGCTTTGAAGATTCTGTTGACATTTAAGAGGAGCCAAAACACATGCCCTTTGGATGAATCAGAAAGTTTATAGCAGGTTAAATGCAGTACTCCTGTAAATCTGTTGTTCTTGTTTAATAGGTGACTAGACATGACTGAAAGCACATTTAGGCAAAATACTCAGTAGTCAAGTGTTATAGACAATATTTACCAGAAGCCAATGCAAATGTGAAATAATTCTTTCATAGAAAATTTTCTGACCTGGCATGGTAGTACACACCTGTAATCACAGCACTCTGGAGGCTGAGGCACAAGGATCACTACGAGTTTGAGGCCAGCCTGGGCTACATAGTGAATTCAGTGCCAGCCTGTAGTACACAGTGAAACACTATCTCAAAAAATTTTTTTAAATTTCTGGAATATAAGATTAAATCCAAAATTGTGTTAAAAATTATGTATTTTTTCCTCGAGGCTTTCAGACTTATCATTTTATTAATATTATTTTAAGTTGAAAATAAATTATATATAAATTTTAGATTCAATGTGATGTTTTACTAATTATCTACAATGTAGAATTATGTAAAGATGATTACTTATTTATTTATTTTTGGCACCAGGAATTGAACTCATGACCTCACGCTTGCCAGGCAGGCACTTAGGACGCTGAGCTAAATTCCCAGTCAACAAAGACAATTACAGTACTGGAACTGATTTCTTAAAACTAAGAGTTCTGGGCACTGCTTGAAGAAAATGCTTTCTAAATATTTTCAGAAACAGTTTTAAGATTGTTACTGTCTTTTACTTTTCTATTGCTATTTGGTGTTCTTGCTGTTTATTTTTCTTTTTATTAGCACGTTTGCAGTACATAGTTTGCATCCTTGTGTGGTTGGTATATGTACACAATACATCTTAATTCCTCTTTTATCCCCTTTCCTTCCCTTCCCTCCATCTGTTGATCCTCTTCCCATTTGATAAAGATCTATCTCACTGCTTTCTATTATTTATCTTTTATTGTGCTACTTATTCATATTTTTGGTTTCTCATATAAGAGAAACCATGGATATTTAATCTTTGTGTCGGATTATTTAACTTTAACATTATGGTTTCAAGGTGCATATGTTTTCCCACAATGACTCAAGTTTATATTTAAGGCACAGTAGGACTCCACTGTGTTGATTTTAATTTTACACTGCATTTCTTTATTTCTAATATGTCGTATATTTCTAATATGCAGTAAACTTGAAAGTTTTTGTTTTACAGTTCTCTAAGGGGTTCATAAACAATATATGGGATCATTTTATTGAGCCCTTCCCTCTCTGCCATCTCCCTGGTACTTGAAATTCTCTAGGAATTCCATATTCACTCCGAGCCAGAAAATGGGGAGTTTGGTTATCCAATTCTGCTATGTACTTCTTGTGACAGAACCCATGTATGACAGGAAAGAGCAGTTTAAAAAAGCAGTGAGGATTCATTGCACCCTCTTGGTACCATGTGTTTTTGGTAAAAAGGAAGGATCTTCTCACTCAGAATTGTAGGCTCCTCTGAGCTCCTGATACTGCTGATGCCTTTATATGGTTGTTTATAGAAGCCAGTTCAGTGGTTCTTTGAATTCTTATTTACTTTTCAAAGGTGTCTGCTACTACATTCTTTTCAGAGTTCTCAAATATCTGCTCTGTGCATTCTGTCAGTGTCTTACAGCTTCCTTCAATCTGAGAAAAGGAAGAGTGTGGTTTTATAGTGTAACTGATCAGAAGCTAGCCCTTGCTCTTTTATGTAATCTTTAGAGAAAAAATTATCTTTAAACTTTATATATAGAAATGTAACAGTGGAGCAATTTAAAGGTCTTTTCCCAAAATGTATTGGAATTTTAAGATATGAAAATCATCTATAGGTCTGGGATATAGCTCAGCGGCACAAGCACCTTCCCAGCAAGCATCAAGTCATAAGTTTGATCCCCAGTACAAAAACAAAACAAAACCATAAAACAAAGAAAGAAAATCATCTATGAATTTACCCCTTCATCTCAGCATTTATTGGCTTTACACATCCAGTCATAATCTAAAAGCATACTTGATTAGTTGGCCCATGGTTGACCATAAACACTGACCCTTTGTTAACCATAAATATGAGAAGGACCAAGTTGAGCTCAGGATAAACTTCCAACATGCAGAATTGTGAGGCAAATAAATGATTGTTCCTTTAAACTGCTAACTTTTAAACATAGCAGTAGCTAATTAATTCTGTAAGCAAGCAAAAAACATTAATCCATTATGATAATATAAAAACTTCTGGTTGTTTTTACATTTCCAGGTAACAATAAGGAAATTCTTTAAAGTATGTTGTTTTTAAGTTTTCTTAGGGACAATCAAATTTTAGCTTCTGCACTTATCTCTAATGCCCTCTTTTTATAGTCATTACATTCTTTGTTACTAAGTTTGGATACTGTGTTAGCCAGTTTTCCCATCAAGGGACACAATACCTGACACCCACAATTTAAGTAGGAAGGGTGTATTTGGCTCATAATTTCAGAGTTTTCAGTCCATGGCACACTAATTTCAAGACAGAAATGTCGTGATGAAAGGGCATGGCAGTGGAAATTTGCTCACCTTATGTCATCCAGGAAGTAGAGAAGGAAGGTGTCAGGGACAATACACCCTTCCAAGTCACGCATCCAGTGACCTGCCTTTTCTAACCAGGTACCACCTCTGAACTCACAAGACTTTGAGGGGACATTTAAGATTTAAACCATGACATTCTACCCTTGGCTCCCAAAAGACTCATGTCCATTTTATTTTACAAAATGCATTTAGTCTATCTCTATAATAGTCACCAGTTCTCAACAGTTTCAGCATTGCTGACAAGTGTCAGTCTAAATTTGCCTGAGACTCAAGACTCACTGAGCTGTGAGCTTCTACAAAAGTCAAAAAAGAGTTAAATACTTCCAACATATAATAGCACAGGTTAAATATTTCCATCCAAAAAGGAAGGATGGGTGATGGACAGGAATTAGTAAAGCAAGACTAAAACTCAGCAAGCAAGTTGTGGTAAGTTGTGAACTCTAAAAGGTTTGGGAAACTCCTCCCTTAAGGCTTGTTGACTGTAGTCACATGGCCTGTCTTGGGATGACTCTGCTTACTGCCTGTGGACTTCCTCAGCAGATATTCCATGTTCTTGGCATCTACTTTTTTGAGCCTCCACTATAACTTTAGTTTCACTTCCACAGCTTAATGCATTGCACTCCCAGGGGCTCCTTGCCTGTTCTCCTAGGCCTTCTTTTGAAATCTAGTAGAAGCCTCAATAATCTCATAACTCTTGCATTTTGCATGTATGACAAACCAACAAAATGTGGATGATGCCAAGGTCTACCACCAGCTTAAGCAACAGCCAAGCCCACTTGAACCATGGATACAGTGACATCTGAGTGCCTCACAGATTGAAAATTTCCTTAAGTGACCCTGAATGAGCAAGGTACCCTGGAGCTCTCTCTTGTTCAAGCAAAGCCTTACAAAAGAGTTTAAAAATGCATGGTGTCTGGACATTTCCTGTGACACCCAAAAGTCATTTTTCCTACTGTCCTGATTCAAAATTCTAAACTTCCCAGTGCTATTCTTTTCAGTAGCCATTCTTTTCTTTTCCCTAACTTTGCAGGGACTTCTTTTCTGGTGAAACCACAAACTTCCATTTTTTCATCTCTACTTTTTGCTTCTGATTCTCACTATAAATCTTGATAAAATTATCCAGCAGTACCTAGTGCACAGTATAAATATTGGGTTGACTTGACATTTTCTCTGCCAAGTAGATTAGACTACCATCTTCAAATTCAGCTTCACACAGTTTTAGAATATAAACAAAATGTAAACAAATCGTTTGCCAGATTGTAATATGCATGGCCTTTAGTATAATTTCCAGTGAAGTCCTCGTTCCCATTTAAAATCTCATAAACGTGGCCCTTAATATCCATATTCTTAGCAGCATACTGGTCTTTCAAGGTCTACCCAGAACCATCCACTGGGCTTTCTTACAACATTCCAAGTCTTCTCAAGGTACATGTCCTAACCATTCCAAACTCCCCCTAAAAACCCATTTCAAAGACTTTTAAACCATATGGGCAGGTGTAGTCACTTCTTGTGCTGATTTCCTATATTACTTACTTTTCTGCCACTGGGACAAAATACTAAATACTTTCAACTTAAAGGAGGAGAGGTTAATTTTGACTCATGATTAGTTCATAGTTAGCTTGCTCCAAGGCAGAAAGGGCATAGTGTAACGGTATGGTGGAGAAAACTACTCACCGTATGGCAACCCAGGAAGCAAACAGAGAAGTGAGGAGCCAGGGATAAGAATATAATTTTTTATGTCACACCACAAGTGACCCACCTATTCTCACCCAGTCCTACCCCTAAACACATGAGACTTTGGGGCAACATTTTAGATTTAAACTATAGCAGATGGAATATGATTTACCATGGCTCTTGCATGTGATTTTAGTCATTTCTCCTCATAAAATTCTGAAGTAAAATTCTACAACAATATTTCATCTTCATAAATTATAAGGATTTTCAAGTAGGACTTGTCCTATAATAGTTTTTAAAGATTATGCTATTTTTATTGAATATTAATATACATGAAAATTCCACAAAAATAAGGATCATGATATCCAGTGGTCGGTGTGTGGGCACATGCTTGTAATCTCAGCTAACTGAGAAGCTGAGGCAGGAGAATATCAAGTTTGAGGCCAGCCTGGACAACTTAACAAGACCCTGTCTCAAAATAAAATTGAAAGTCCATATACATGCTAGGTAAATGCTCTCCCACGGAGCTATAGTCCCATGCTTCTTAAACTATTTTATTTCATTTTGAGAAGGGGTCTTACTATCTTGCCCAGGCTGGTCTTGAACACCTAGGCCCTTTCTATTTTCCTGCCTCAGCCTCCCAAGTAGCTCTGATTATAGGTATATTCCACTATAATGGGTTTAAACAAAACTGTGGTGTGTTTGTACGTTTTTATAGTGCTGGGGACAGCACCCAGTGCTTTGTGCATGCTAAGTGAGCATTATAAGACCTGCAGCCTTAAGCTTGTTAAGATTAATAGGGTGGTTAAGGACGTGGTGAATATACCTATACTAAGAAAAGAGGTACCAGTGAGAAAGATAAAAGAACTTGACTAGGAGATAGGATATGTATTATGATTTATATGTAGATGTCCTTCAACAGCCTTGTGTGCTCATAGGTGGGGCTTTTAGAAGATTGTGGAGTCTTTTTAAAATCAGATTTTATTGGTACATTCTAGATACACATAATGATCATATTCATCACAGAGAATTTGTACCTGTTCATGATATAACATGATTCTTTTTTTTCCAATTTCCCACTTTCTCTTCAACCCTTCCTCCCCTCCTCATTTACACAAACTTTTTTTTCATTTTTCCTTCTTTTTCACTTTTTTTTAAAAAAACTTTTTCCTTCTTTCCTTTCCTCCTAGGATTATGGGGTCTTATAGCTGACTTGCTGTTAGGAAGTGGATCTGGTCAGAAAAGGTGGGTCACTGGGGACATGACCTGGAAAGGTTTATCTCCCTCCCCAACTTCCCCCTTGACTCTTTCTGCTTCCTGCCTACCATAAGGTAACTACTTTCTTATTCCTAGGCCTCTCTGCCATGCTGTCCTGCCTTGAAGCCAGTGGACTACAGACTGAAAATAACTAAGACAATATAAGAGAAATGACAGAGGACTGTGATTCTGTTTACAGAAGAGAAAGTTCCATAGGTGAAGCGTCATTGGAGTCATTGAATGATTGTTGGATATTACTCATTATTTCTAATTTATCTAAGTTATGGATATGAAGTTTTAAGAAAAACAGTGTGTGATGGAAAATGTTGGAAACAGTTGCTGAGGCAGGATATCAAGAGTGGAAAAGAACTGCTAGACCAATGATGTCCTCTGAAACCAAAAACACACAGAAAATCTAAAAACTTCCTGGGGAAACTTTTCCATTTAACTGCATTTTATGGTTTTGGAAAAATTGAGAACAGATTATTCCACTACAAGGGATATCTTGAACAGCAGATAGGTTGCCCTCAAACTTCTAATTGTCTATTTCTGATTAAAAGGAAGGTCAGCTGCATCCGATACATATTATGGATTGCATTTTAGAAGAGAAAAAAGATAAAAAGTAGAAAAACTGGTCAAACCTAAATCCCCATTTTACTTAATGTTAAGGTATCAAAGTTGGTTTCTTGGTTTTGACAAATGTACTATGGCCATATAAGGTGTTAAACTTTGGAAAAACTGGGTGAGAACATATAAGACTTGTCTGCACTGTCTCTGTAGTTATCTAGGAATCTAAATTTATTCCAAAATTTTGAAAAAAATTAAAAATATCCAAAACTAAGAGAAAATAATAAATGAAAGCAGGCGGGTGAGCTGGGCTTGGTGGAGCATGCCTATAATCCCGGAGACTGAGACAGGAGGTTCATTGCAAGTTTGAGACCAGCCTGCGTTACAAAGTGAGCAAAATGTCAACCTGAGCTGCAATGGCAAGATTTTGTAGAAAGAAAGAAAAGAAAGGAAGGAAGGAAGGAAGAAAGAAAGAAAGAAAGGAAGGAAGGAAGGAAGGAAGGAAGGAAGGAAGAAAGAAAGAAAGAAAGAAAGAAAGAAAGAAAGAAAGAAAGAAAAAGAAGGAAAGAAAGAAAGAAGGGAAGGAAGGAAGGAAGAAGGGAAGGAAGGAAGGAAGGAAGAAAGGAAGGAAGGAAGGAAGGAAGGAAGGAAGGAAGGAAGAAAAGAAATATAGCAGGCTGGCGGGTTTATGTAGGGGGATATTGCCCTCAGGACAAGACAGAATCAACAGCGGTCAGACATGAATGATATAATGATCATGCCAAACATGGAATGGAAAGTTAGATAATGGAACACAGTTAAAGGAAAAAAAGTAAAAAGAATCGCTTCAGGATAATTATTGTAAATTTTGAGAAAATTATCTCAAAAACAATAAAATGTGTACTACAATAAAACAGCATTGATATAAACACATTCTCAAACAGGTTATTCTTTAGTCTTTAGGAATGTTCAATTTACATGGAATTAGCATATCCCATCTTTGGTAAAAGTTACAAGAAATACAGATGTGATTTTCCTCTTCTGTACAGATGTTATCTTTGGGTTTTTTTTTTAAACAGGTACATGTTTATTGTACATAATGATTATATTCATCGTGGGGAGTTGGTACAGATGCGTAATGCATCTCTTCTTTGTTCATTTCTCTTTCTTTCCCTTTTCCCTCTGCCCTTGGTCTCCTCAACCCCTTCCCTTTTCAAATGATCTATCTCTCTATCTCCTATTATTGGTCTTTTATTTTGTTCTTAATTTATATTTTGGATTCCTCGTATAAGACAAACCATGTGATATTTAAGCTTGTGTGTCATTTATTTCATTTAACATTATGGTTTCAAGATGAATCCATTTTCCTATAAATGACTCAAATTCGTCTTACTTAATGGCAGAGTAATACTCCATTGTGTATACGTACACATTTTCTTTATTCAGTCTCTTGTTCATGAACAGATGGGCTGCTTCTAAGATTTAGTTTTTGTGAGTTGTGCTGCTGTAAACACGGGTAATGTATGTATCACTGTAATATGATGGCTTTAACTGTTTCAGAAAGATACCTAAAAGGGAAATATCTAGGTGAAATAGAATTTCTAGTTTTGTTATGCTTTGTAGTTTTTGAGAAATCTCAACACTCCATAGCATTTGAACTAGTTTGCATTCCCACCACCAACAAAGAAGGGTTCTATTTCTCCTGAAGCCTCACCAAGCATTTGTTACTATTAGAACAAATGGCTATTCTTGATGATAGTCATTCTTTCTAGAGTAAGATAAAATTTGAGTGCTTTTAAATATTTCATCTCTCCAATGACTTAAGATGTTGATCACTTTTTGATGTATTTGTTGGCTGTTTGCACTTCTTCTAAGAATTATCTATTCATTTCATTTGCTCATTTTCTGATTGGATCTTTTATTTTGAGGAGGTCTAATTTTTTGAGTCCGTTATATATTCTAGATATTAGTCCCCTGTCAATGGAATAGCAGGCAATTTTTTCCCATTCTATAAATTATCTCTTCACTTGGTTATTTCTCTTGCTGTGCAGAAGTGTTTTAATTTGCTATGATCCCATTTGTTGATTTTTGGTGCTATTTCTTGTGGAATCCGGCTCTGTTCAGGAAATTCTGTGCCTGTGCCTATGCCTTCAAGATTTTACATATTTCATCTTCCAGAATATTGTTTGGGTTTTATCATTTCGATCTTTGAGTCATTTTTATTTTAGTACATATAGAGTAAGTCTTCTGCAGGTTGATAGCCAGTTTCCCCAGAATCATTTGTTAAAAAGCCTGTCTTTCCTCCAGAGTATATTTTTGGACCCTTTGTGAAAGCTCAGATGGTGGAATGTGGCTGGAGCTGCTTCTGCATTCTTTCTCTTGTTCCATTGATTCACATATCTGGATTTGTGCCATTACCATGCTATTTTTATTCTAGTGTAGCTTGTAGTATAACTTGAAGTTGGATTATGATGCTTCCTAGTTTACTCTTGTTGCCCAGGGTTAGATTTGCTATTCTGGGGCTCTTGTGGTTCCATATGAATATTATTTTTGAACTGTTATTCTTCTTATTAGTACATATTTGTCATAAATGTTGATTGCATTCATCATAGGGAATCTGTACCTGTACATAAGTCATCTCAGTTCTTTGTTCCCATTCCTCTCTCCTCCTTCCAGCCCTTCTTCCTCTTCCCATTTACAGAAGCTTTGTTTGTGGAGGACCACTTGGATGATGCTCCTTGAAAGAACAGTTGTCTTCATTTTATCTAAAATTTTCATGTATTGACACATACAGAGCTGGCTAGGACATTTCCTTATCCCCTCAATTGGCTTTAAAAAATGGACTAGCCAGGTACTGAAGTATATAGTCTTTGAAGCAATGGGACAGATCAGTGTTGCCCTGCCTGTAGCTCCCAAGAAATATGTGAGCCAGGCATGGAGAGCCAGAGTCACATTATCTGCAGATTAGTCTCTCCGTATCTCTTTCTAACTGCATATTGCAGAGGTGATTTTAGGGTTCCTACCTTGCCCACATGCTCACATGCTTCCCCTACTGTTATAGTCACTCATCCCCAAGCCACTCCCCTATTCATGAATTAATAAAATCTGAATTCAACCATGGATTGAGGCCTTTGCTTTGGTTAGCCATTGTAGTAGTTGGACTGAGGACTTCCTTGACTCCCCACAACTACAAAATATGCCCTAGTGTCTTTATTCTTGCCATGTGTCGTGCTGGAAGTGGTACACTGGAATTAACTTACTAGAATTTCAGTAATTTTTCCATGGGATTACCAATGTGGATTTGCTGCACCATGATGAATTCTAGAAGGGCTTTCTATATTTGCTGACATTTTCCTTCTGTTCTCTTTTTTCCTTTTCCTTTCCTTCCCTTCCCCCCTCCCTTCTTCCTTGAACAAGTTCTTCTTACTTCCTAATACCCATCATCCATTCTGCTCCTTATTTATACTTTAGGTTTCTAACACAAGAGAAATCATAAGATATTTAAATTTGTCTGTCCAATTTATTTCACTTAAGATTGTAGTCTCAAGGTACATCCATTTTCCTACAAATTATTCAAATTTGTCTTTCTTTATGGCAGAGTAGTACCCTGTTGTATATAAATACCACATTGTGTTTATCCATTTACCTTTTAGTGGGCACAGGGGCAGCTTGCAAGATTTAGCAATTATAAATTGTGCTGCTATAAGCATAAGTATCCATATATCACTATGATATGAAGCTTTTAACTCTTTCAGGAAGATGCCTAGAAAGGGAATATTTGGGTCAAATGGAACCTCTAGTTTTAGTTTTTTGAGGAATTCTATACTGGCTTCCATGATGGTTGTATCAGTATATATCCCCAGCAATGGAAAACAGTTCCTTTTCCCCTACAGACTCACCAGCATTTGTTTGTTGATTTCCTGATGATAGCCATTCTTTCTTGGGTGAGATGGAATCTGTGTTGTTTTAATTTGCATTTTAAGAAAGACCAATGGTTTTGAAAATTTTTTCATATATTTAGTTGCTGTTTGCATATCTTCATCTGAAAAATGTCTGTTTATTTCAGAAGGCCATTTTTTGATTGGATTTTTAAAATTGGGTTTTTGATTTTTTTTGCAATCTTTCTATATTCTAAATATAATCCTTTGAAGAGTAACTGGTAAACTTTTTTCCAATCTGTGGATTGTCTCTATACTCTTGGTGGTCTATTTTGCTTTGCAGAAGCTTTTCAATTTGAGTCTTTGTAATATTTCCGTACAATCAAGATTTTGCTCATAAAGTCTTTGTCTGCACTTATGTCTTCTAGAGGTTTATCTATTCTGTCTTCCACCAGATTATGTTTCTGTTTTAATATTTAGACCTTTAATCCACTTCAGTTTTACTTTACTGCATGATGAGAGACATTGGTCAAGGTTCAATTTTTAGCATGTGAAAAGACAGTTTTCTCTCCCCAATTTTTTTTCTGCACAATATTTTAAAGGGGCTATTTTTCTTTCAGTGAAGGTTTTGGCCCCTTTGTCAAAAATAAGGCAGCCAAGTGTATCTGGAATTTTTCCTGTATCTGTTATCCTGTTTCATTGATACTCAGCTTTCATTTGTTTGTTTTCTTTTTGCCATTACCATGATGTTTTTATCATGGTACTATAGCTTCAAAGTGGAAATTGTGATGTGCCTACCTTGCCCTTATTGGCCCAGAATTGCTTTTGCTAGTCTTCTTCTGGTTCCAAATGAAATTTAGAATAGTTTTATCTAGTTTTGTGAGGAATGCTATTGATATTTTGATTGAGATCGCATTAAATCTTTTGGTTTTGGAAATGGCCATTTTCATTATACTAGTTCTATCTTTCTAGGAAAAGGGGATAACTTTCCATTTTCTGATATTCTCTTTGATCTCCTTTTTCAAATTACTGTAGTTTTCAACATACAGACATTTTACTTCCTTTGTCAGACTGATTCCTAAGTATTTCATTTTTTAATGCTTTTGTGAAATGTGTTGCTACCTTAATTTCTCGCTTAGTGAGTTTGATATTTGTGTACAGGAATGCTTCTGATTTTTGAGTGCTGAATTTGTATTCAGCTAAGCTACTGAATTTGATTATTAAATCTAGAAGTGTTTGCTACAAGTTTTGGGGTCTTCTGTGTAGACTATCATGTCATCTTCAAATAATAATTTAACTTCTTCCTTTCCTATAATTATTCCTTTTATTTCTTTCTCTTGTTTTATTGCTCTGGCTAATGTTTCCCGAAGTGTGTTGAATAAGAGTGGTAACATTGTTGCTTTTTTCTTTTTCCCTTTCACTTTCCCCTACTCTAATTCCTCTTTCCTTTTGAACAATTTCTTCCCATTTCACAATATCTATTCTACATTTTAGACCTTATTTATTCTTTCAGGATCTCACATTTGGGAGACAATACAATATTTATATGTGAGTCTGTTTTATTTCACTTATGAGTATGGTCTCAAGTTGCATCCATTTACCTATAACTGCCTCAAATTTTCCTTCTTCATGCCTGAATAGTACTCCATTGTATAAAAAGGCCACATCTTTTTTATGCATTTCTCAGATCATGGGCATGTGAGTTGTTTCTATGCTACTAGTTTCTCTTATTTTGTTGAAAACAAAGGTTTGTGTAAATATTGTGCCCATATCCTGTACTCTGGTTAACTACTTTGAAGGTAACAATATGCAATGAATTAACTATTATTCTTCTTCTATTATTTTGTTTCTTCCCCATAAAATAAAAAAAAAGAAACAAAAAAGAGTTGTGACAGTGGACATCCTTATCTTATTCTGGATTTTAGAGTGAAAGATTTTAATTTTTGACTACTTAGTATGATATTGGTTGTTGGTTTGATTGCTTTAACAGATTGAGATAAGGCCAACTATTTCAATTTTCTGTAGGGTTTTTATTGTTATGGATGTTTGACTTTGTTAAATACTTTTTCTGCATCTATTAAGATTAGTTGTTTTTGTTCTTGGCTTTGTTAACATGGTTTATTACATTTATTGATATATGTAGGTCTTACCATGTTTGCCTCTTTATATATTCTAGATAGTATTCCTTTGTCTGATGAAGAGCTGGCAGAAAATTTTTCCCACACTGTGGTTGTCTCTTCACTCTGTTGATAGTTTCTCTTGCTATGCAAAAATTTCTTAATAAGATAAGACCCCAGTAATATGTCATACCAGATCAGGGTCTGTTTATAAAGTCTTTGCCTACATCATTGTTTTCTTTTTTTTTTCTTTCTTTTTTTATTTAAGAGGAAAAAGAGAAAAACACAAAACATAACAAAGCAGTGTAAGGTTACACATAATACAGAACTACAAAAAAAACATAACAGTAAGAAATCACCTGTTAATAGATTACATATTATCATCTTGGAAATAGTTGCTCAAATCACAGTATCAAAGAATACAAAGTAGACATTCAAACAGAGAGACTGCAAACAGCTGTGTTCAATGATCCAAAAACATTAATATAGTCAGCTATTTAACACCCCTATACACACTTGCTGTTATATCCGTTAGAGCTCTTTTTTTTTTCCCTCCCTCTCTTTTTTACAACAAAATTTACACATTTTGGATTTTATTACTCCTTAGTTCTTATTACTTTTTTGGGGGGGGAGAGAATAAAGTCAAATATGGCAAAACAAAGCTGTCAGTCAAAACCAAGGATAGACATAGCACATGATGTAGAACAGAGTACAAGGTTATTAACAATGGTTATCAACATTGTCTCTTGTTTCCTTAAAAGGAATTGTCTATCTCATTAGATACTATAAAGTTGGACAAAACAGTGGAGAACAAGACCAATAAAACTTAGGCATTGTGAACATTACAAGACTTCCAAAGGAGACAATAGTCAAACCAGAATGGGCATCTTTGCGAATCTTATTGCCTTCAAATTAGTTGCCTATACCCTCAGACTTGCTACTATCGTTTTTAACCATTAGTATGGTGTTGTATGTATAGTCATAGATTGATTTTATCAGCCTGAGATGAGGTTTATGTCAACATTCTGTATTTTTTTTATCATGAATGAGTGTTGGACTTTGTCAAATGCTTTTTCTGCATCTCTAGGGTGATCATGTGGTTTTATCCTTGGCTCTGTTAAGATAATGTATGACATTTATTGATTTGTACATATTGAACCATTCCTGCATCTTTGGTATGAATCCTACTTGGTCATGATGTATAACTTTCTTGAAGATTTGCTGCTTTCTGTTTGCTAGTACCTTATTGAGGATTTTTGCATCTCTGTCCAGTAAGGAGATTGGGCTGTAGTTCTCTACAGTAGTAATGATATTGGGAATGTTGTTTGTCTTTCAATTTCAATAAATACTTTGAGGAGTAGTAAAAATAAATCTTTAAATTTCTTGTAGAATTCAGCTGTGAATCAATCAAGACCTGAACTTTTCTTTATTAATTGTTTTTAAATTTCTACTTCAATTTCATTGACTGATACTAGCTTATTTAGAATTTTTATATATTCTTGATTTTAGCTTTGATAATTTATATATTTCTAGGAATATTTCTGTTGTAGTTAGGGGTTGTACACAGAGAACAATTAGAATCAGGACATGGAGTTTATAATATTGTTTTATGATGTTCATCCAGAATTAACACAAGAAACTACAGGAAATGTATCCGCAACACCAAAGACATAGAATATTTAGCCAAGGGCCTGAATCCCACAGCAATGTCCCACATTAGTCCAGATGAAAACCCAGAGCTCATGACAGTGCCTCCCACAAGTCCAACTGGAGGTCAAGAGCCCACAAGAAGGACTCACACCAGTCTCTTTTATGGATCCGTGCCGGGAAGGCCCAAAGGTCAGTTGTGGAAGCCAGAAGGTCTATGCCAGTGGGGTAATGGAGCTGTGCTGGTGGGATGAGGGTTCTATGCTAGAGCCAAGAAGCCACACACGTAACAAAGACCAGAGCTGTCCTGAAAAGCACTACAGCCATCCTCAGCAACACAGAGGCCCCGAGCTCCTCCGATGATAAGCACAGTTGAGTACATGCTAGGAAGCCAGCATGACGAGTTCATCCTGGAGACTAAGTGGTACACATCTTCCCCTCCAGAGCCAGGAAGCAATGCTCGATGTGAGGACCAGAGCTTCTCCAGGAGAACCAAATGGCTCAAACAGCAATATGTAGGAGAACCCACAATGCCTCAAAGCCTCAATGCAATAACGCATTAACACCTTCCTTCTTCTCCACCTCTCTATTTATGCTGGTAACTTTCCTCAGGTGAAACATCTATGCTCAGTGCCATGCTGATAAAATATAGCTGGTGTTAAATGGACCACCAGTTCTTAATCCATAACACTGTCCATTTCGCATGAACATACCATCTTATTAGAATATACATTTTCATAGTACATACTGATGTTTTTTAATTTCTGTGGGATCTGTTGTGATTTTGCTCTTTTCATTCCTAATTTCATGGATTTGGGTGTATTATTTCCTTTACTTCATAAGGTTAGTTATATGTTTGTCAATTTTATTCAAACTTTTGAAGAACCAAGTCTTTGATTCATTGATTCTTTTAATGTTTCATTAGTTTCAATTGCATTAATTTCTTCTGTGATCTTTATAATTTCCTCCCTCATATGAGCTTTTGGCTTGACTTACTGTTTTTGACCATAAGAGTATGAAGATTAAATTAGGTTATTTATTTGAGCTTGCTCTGTTTTTGTGAAGTGTGAATTTTCTCCTATAAATTTCTTATGGGCTGATTTCATTGTGTCCTATAAATTGTGGTGTGTCATATTGGCATTATCATTTAATCGAAGAGACTCTAATTTCTTCTTTAATTTCATCTTTTACCCACTGGTTGTTCAGGAGGGAGTTATTTATTTTCCATGTGTTTATGCAGTTTTTGTGGTTTCTTTTGCCATTGATTTCCCATTTTATTTCATGGTGGCCTGATAATATGCATGGGATGCTTTCATTTACTTTCTATTTAATTACCCATGTTCTATGAGTTAGTATGTGGTCTACTTCATAGAAAGTCCCATGTGCTACTGAGATGAATGTATATTTTGTTATTGTAGGGTGAAAAAGTCTGTATTTATCTAAGTCCATTCATTCAAAGTTTGTTTCAGCTTTGATATTTCTTTGTTGATGTTTTGACTTTTTGATGTGTCTGTTTGTGACAGTGGAGTATTAACATCCCCCATTACAATTGAATTAGAAGTTAATTTAAATTTTTTTCTTTATTTTAAAGAAAGTAAAATACAACAAAGCAAGACAGAACAAAGCCAATCAAAACAATGCAGCAAAGTTGGTACAGAAATTCAGAGCAAGATACTGGGAAAACAATAATGGTTACCATAGTAACCATTGTTATTTTCACAATAGTTGTCCATTCCATCAGGTACAGCAAAATCAAACCAAAACCAAAACACTATAAAACCAATTGAAACAAAATATTGATAAAGCAAAACAATCAGAACAAAGCAAAACAGTGAAAACAATATTGGACTGTAAAGATAAGATAGAAGGCAATCCCCCATATTTCCTATACTACATACCATCATCCTCCCAAAAGATACTCAAACCGCTGGCCCCAGGCCTGCATAATCAACCAACCAATACACACCTTTAGTGTTTAGTCACT